ATGTCAGGGATGGTGAGTTTGTGGAGAGGTAATGATCAATACAAAAAGCTCTCTGCTCTTTACTAAAAGTAGCCATGATCTCAGCAGGCAAACAAAATTTGTAAAAATAATATCTGCAGACTTCTGTTGACTTGTTAGACTGCTGTAGCTTGCAATATGGCGCGATTGTTGCAACTTTTAGTGGTAGGCCTAATGCGAACTGGTGCGTCAAACTATGAAAATGGCGACAAGGTTGAAAACGGGTTGTTTTTTTAATGCGCCTTATAGAGCAAAACCATTCAATGGAATTGTCTAAAGTACATACCAGACAAATTCCTTTTGGCTTTCAAATGTTATGTTCAAATCTGAAACGCAAAACTTAAGTATGGAGGAAGTAAAGTTTTTTGGTTTTTTGGATCACCCTGTATGTACAAGGAACCGTACAAGGAAAGAGAAAGAGAGGAAGGCAGAGAAGGAAAAGGGAGGACATCACAGAGAGAACAGGGAAGACGATGGGTGACAATATGAGGAAAGCAATGGCGAGAGCTGGTTGTCAGATGCAGTGGTGCCCCCATGGTGCCCCCAACCATGGGATAGAAAAAGATCTATCTATCACACAAACACATCTTATTTGCTGAAACCCCATTGTCACGCCTACGGCGACCCGGAGCGTTTACTGGGTCAAACTGTTCGAAACTTTAAGGATAGGTAGTGATTGGTGGGGCGGTTTGGGGGGGGGGGTCTCAACTTGACTTTTACCCAAATGAATAAAAGAATGGCGACACGTTATACTTGTAAAATAACTCACCTGCTGTTTATCTGATTGTGAAAAGAGAAACACGTCGACACGGCATCTTTCATTATTAATGAGAGGAAAAATAAAGACAGACAGAAACAGCAGCCCGGGAATCACACACCTGATTTCAATACTTGATTTGAGTAATTCTGTCTCGTTGTAGCTGAGTCGAGGGTCAATCCATTCTTGGCGCAGATATAAGCTCATGGTCAGCTCCTGAGAAATTTGAAGGTTGAGGGTATTATAACAAAATGTACTTGTCGTTTCTTTTTTTATGTAATGGTTGTAAGCTCCCATCGACACAATTTAGTTCGTTTAGAGAGACAGGCTTAGGTATAAAATCGAATCCAATCCTTCTTCTTCTTCTTCTTCTTCTTTTTTTTCTTCTTCTTCTTCTTCTTCTTCTTCTTCTTCTTCTTCTTCTTCTTCTTCTT